AGATAACGAAAATGTACGAGTTTCACGTTTTCATCCAAGCGTCATCAATTTACAAGACTCGTTTCTACTTACAAGTGTGATATGCCCAACCCCTGGTAAGCACAACTTTTCTTTTAATTTAAAGAACAGATATTAACAGCCTAAAATTACAAAATGAAAATGTGCCAGCCTCATTTTTCATCCAAATTAGCATTTTGGCAACATCAATTTGCTTGCCTCATCAAACATATACCCAATCCCTATAAAACACATCTTCTCTTTTAATTAAATAAAGCAGGTCTGCCTTCATGTATTGTGGTAATTGACAATACTTGACGGTTTTTCCCAAAAAAAACCATCAAATATTGTTTGAAAAACCGTCAAATATTGTTTGTTAAACAATATTTGATGGTTTTTTTGGGAAAAACCGTCAAGTATTTTTTTTGGGACAGTTTTTACCTCACTTTTTTGATGGTTTTTCTAATAACTATCAAGTATTTGGCATCAAGTATTTAAAATTTTGTATTAGTGAGATAGTAACAATTTAAAATTACAAAACATATCATTCGATTTCACTGCATTCTAACTATCACAGGATAAAAATTATAGTTCATAGCTAGAGATGCAGATGCCTTTTAGAAGGGAAAAAGAATCTAATATGCAGTAACATTCAATTTGAATTCGTTAGCAATTAAACAAACATAACAAAAATCCATGTCGTAAAACAATTATATACTCATTACTCTTGAATTAGCTATATTTACAGCTAACCATTTTATTATTTAACAATCAAGTAGCTATAAATCAGAATGAAAATTGTATATACCAGTTACTAGTGCACTAGCTATATTAATTTACTCTTCAACACTCAGCATGCATTGAATTTCAAATGTACACAAGGGAAATTTAGAGCAAGATTTATCTTTCTGAAAACCATGACAAGAGAAAATGAGATGTGGAGATAGCAACCAATTACGTTAACCTGTGGTTTCATCAGAGCCTTAATGCTTTGAAATAATTTCATAATTTCATAAAAAAATTGAGTTTGATTCCTGAGAATAGTTTAAAAAAAGGGTTAATATCATTGTTGATTCTTACACTTTGCCTTCATTTTGGTTTTAGTCCTTGAGATTTGAAGTCAGTATTTATTGTCTCTCAAGTATGCTCCATTTATAACTGTTAGTCCTTATAGTTTGAAAATGACTTAGAGCTAGTATTAATAGTCTTAAGTTCGCCTATGTGTCACTAACGCCCTTTGGATTGATGATGTTGACTGTTGACTGCGCAAGTTCCTTTGCTGACCTGGATATGTGATTTTTTTTAAAATTAAAATCAAAACACCGTGGTAGCTAGCCTGAAGAAGACGGTGGCTGTTCTCCTCTCTACATGCGGTCGCAGCTTTGGATGATGAAGGTTGAAGCAGAAGAACAGTGGAGTCATTGCTAGTTTTAACACAATTTGAGAAATCGATGAGGGGATTCCCACCAATTGGTTGGTTGCCGACACATACATTAATCAGTTGGTTGACTTTTTGCTCATCAAAGAACGTGACGAAGGAATGAGCCGTGTTGTTTTTTTCTATGTTATAATCAAACAAAGTACAATTTTGATTTGATTGAAGTTTTATTGAGGACTGAGATTTCTATTTTATTACATTTTAACAGTCATGTACTAATTTATACGCGGTTTTGCTTGGTCCATAGTCTAAATATAATGCTGAGAACCCTGCTGTAGCTCATATGCTCACGCAGGAAATTAACTTATATGTCCATAAATAAAATTATAGGATGTTATATACACTTGAAAGAACAAAATGAGAAAAAGTAGTTGGTGGACTACCAAACCTTGATAATAAAAATAAATATGGTTAATTAGTGAAAGTGTTTTGATTTTTCAAATATTTGTTCTCCCTTAATATTAGAAATTGTGATTAAATGTGTTGCAAAACTCACATGGATTATAATTTGTTTGATCATAGCGAGAAAGTCTCTCACAAGTTTTAAAGAGAAATAATGGACTTAGATCGTCAAGGGGACCAAATGAGAATATAGCAATTATATCTATATATCTCTATTCTTATTCATTGCTTTCATTCATTTATACTGCTTTTTGCACAAATATGAACTTTCAGTCATAAATATGCATCAATCATATAACTATGAAACATGAATTATAAATCTCAAAACTAAAAAAGGTTATGTGACTATTCGAACTAGTAGGAGGACCACCAGTTTTCACTGATTCATAGCCGGTTTACTTGGTTCGCCATCAATTCTTTGAAAACCTAACATGTGACTAATTTGTGATTTTACCAATGAAACCAACCGATGCAGTCCAATTCGAATAAAAATTTAAAATTTACATAAAATGAAGCTTAAGAAAGCAATGCATTATGTTATAGTTTTTATATTATTGATATTGATATTATATAGTATTCCTTTTTTTATTGTTTCAAAAAAAAAATATAACTTGTTATAAATGAGTGTGCGTGTGCGCGTATGTGTATATATCATTTTTCTCTTTCTTGACTTATGAATCAATATAATCTAATGATAGAAATAAGCATTTTAGAAAAATCATATAACATATGCTATAATTAAATAATTTATTTAGTTTTTTTAATCTTTTTAAATTAGTCAATTGAATCTTACATTAAGAACCACGCACCATAGCTAATATAATTTTTTATGATTCCTAAATTAAAGCTGCATGTTTTATTTAAGAAAAAATGTTTTATTTAATAAAATCCTTGCAAGACATTATTATTGCATGGCTTGAACGGTGCAACTCAACCATTGATGTTATAGCGTATAGCGTATGTTTCAAACTTCATAGAATATGCATAATATATTTAGTATTTTCTCGATATATAATGATAATTTGTTGGCAAAAAAAAACATATTGATATAAAACCTTTTTTTTTCTGGGCCAAAATATAACGACAACATATATAAAGCAGTGATCAGAATTTTTTTGGTCTCTGCTTATCCATCAGATCATTAAATTTTTAACATAAATGTTCTATTTTACTCTCTATTTATTATTGTGTATGAATTATTATTTTGTTGGATTAAAGAAACAATTTATGTGCCGTCACCGGCATGAGGGCAATTAAAGCTGGTTATCGAGTGACATGTCCTATTCATTCTATTTATTCGTGATTAAGATCACAAACTGAAGAGGTTCCAACGAGCAACAACCCTCTATGCCACCCGTTTAATGATGTACGTGGTCAAGCAATACACTCTTATAATCTGATTATAAATATGAGAATTAATGAATAATTCATATAAATTTAAATAAGTACTCATTTGCATACAATTGAATAATTCACATAGATATGTAGTTTTTGGCCCCAAAAAAAGGGTATGTACTTCTCATTCTTAATCAATTCTCACATAGCAAATTAAAATTATAGTTAAAGCATTAAATATGTTCTAAATTGACAATTTTTTTTCGAGTTAACTTAAATGATGTGGAGAGCTTATTGACACTAAACTTTAATTATTAATAAGGGTAAATTTTTAAAATAACAATTGATTAGTTAGTTGATAATTTATGTTTAAGATAAAAAATCCCTTCCCGATAATAAGGACCGAGGGAGTAGTTTAGGAAATATGACACCTCTCAACAGAAACATACAATATTTAGATGATAAATGTATGAGACTATGAGGTTTATCTGAATGATGAGATAACGGATCAACTAGTTGATTTTTTTTTTTTGGCCAACGATCAACCATCTTGTTGATTTTTATTTTTTAATTGATATATCAAGATACAAAATTATTATTTTTATTATATTATGTATATCACGTAATAATCTTTATATAAATACATCTTCGTTAAATTGCCAACGATTCGATGTGGATCGGTCCATCTAACATTCTTACAAGGGCTTCCAACTTCCAACTCCGAACTCAGCGACAATATTATTTTTAATTTGTAATTTGGCTTCTTACCTATCAAGACTTAAAATTTCTTTTAACAACAATAGAAACTAATAAAGTCTCTCAGGGGATGAAACATAAAACGCATATATATCCTTCTCAACTAACTTCTGTTTTATACCCTAGAAGTTATAAATCAAACCCTGATCATTTGTTTAAGGAATGAGATATCGTCTACTTACAAAATTATCGTATCGGCAGCAAAATTTAAATTTACAATCTTGTGAGTTGTATGAGCCAACTCCTTACCAATTTGAGTAATAGAACTTTGTTGCAAATAAGAGTAGTGTTCATTACAATTATCCATATCTATTTGTAATTGAACAGATGATTGTACAAATCGGTTTTTATTGATTATTGTGAATATAAAAATGGATGGACCAGACTGTTTCTCACCATCATTAGAGTTTAGTAGCATGAATAGTATTAATCACACCAAAAGGTTGGTCGCTGCTTATGACAAAATAGTCTAAGCTACTTTTAAATGGACCCACCTCCATCTGCTCCTATTCAATGAATCCTTGGCCAAATATAGTAACTTTTCCATATCCCAATTCTTCCCTTAAAGAATTAACTTCAACTACCTAAGATATCCACCATCGCTTTCTCACCTTTCTTCTTCTTCTTCTTCTTCTTTCTTTGTTTTTTCATTCGAATTGCTCAAGCAAAATTTTATGTATTTAAATATATATTTATTTGAATTCTAATACTTTCATTAAATTATTAAATTTGAATGGTTAAAAGTATATTAAACATTTGAAAGCAGTAGTGAATAGTGATGGCCAGCAACAATAAATTGAAAGCAGATGAAAGGGAGAGAAAGAAGAAAAGTCAAAATTTCTTTTCTTTCTTGTTTGGATAAAAAGAGGATCAATTATATAAAATGAAGAAAAGTAAAAGTTTCACACAAAGCCTCTTTCTGGTACATCATTAATGAAGCAGAAGTTTCTGAATATGCAGCAGCGTGTTCCAACTTTAAACCACATGTATAAACGTGCAAGTGCATATATATACTACGAAAGAAACGTTATCTGAAATACCCACGAAGTAGAATAATCGCAGCTCCAAAATTCAAGGTAGTTCCACAGCAATCAACATGAATCCTCTCGACCTAGACGAATTCAAGAGGCAAGGTTATATGATGATTGACTCACTCGTTGATTATTATCGTAATGTGGCTAACTTCCCAGTTCTGAGCCAAGTCCAACCTGGTTACCTCCGAAAAATGTTGCCATCTTCTGCTCCAAGTAAACCTGAAACCTTTGAAACCATACTCCGGGATGTTCAAGACCACATCGTCCCAGGAATCACACATTGGCAGAGTCCTAATTACTTTGCATACTTCCCCAGCAGTAGCAGTACCGCAGGTTTCATGGGCGAAATGTTAAGCACAGGGTTTGGTGTTGTCGGGTTCAATTGGATTTCATCACCTGCTGCGACTGAACTTGAAAGCATCGTCATGGATTGGCTTGGACAAGCTCTGAAACTCCCAGAGAGTTTTCTTTCATCAAGTAACGTTGGAGGCGGCGTTTTGTTAGGGACAACCTGTGAGGCCATTCTGTGCACACTTGTGGCTGCAAGAGATGAAAAGCTTCGCCAAATGGGGAAGGAGAATCTAAAGAAGCTTGTTGTTTATGGGTCTGATCAAACTCATAGTGCTTTTCAAAAAGCTGCTCGTGTTGCAGGAATCCACTCAGAAAATCTCAGGGTCATCAAAACCAACAAGTCAAGTTCATTTGCTTTGTCACCACATTCACTCCGTTCTGCAATAATCAAGGATGTGGAGCATGGGCTCGTTCCTTGTTTTCTTTGTGCCACTGTGGGAACCACTGCAACTGCTGCCGTTGATCCTATTGGACCATTATGTGACGTGACAAATGATTATGGCATTTGGGTCCACGTGGATGCTGCTTATGCAGGTGGGGCCCTTATTTGCCCAGAGTTTAGGCAATTTCTTGAAGGAGTTGAAGGGGCAAAGTCGTTCAGCTTCAATGCACACAAATGGTTTTTCACTAACTTATGTACTTGTTGCCTTTGGGTGAAGGATTCTTCTTGTTTAACAAACTCCCTCTCAACAAATCCTCAGTTCTTGAGGAACAAAGCTTCTGAATCGAACCAAGTGATCGACTATAAAGATTGGCAGATAGCATTAAGCAGGAAATTCCACTCCCTCAAACTATGGTTTGTTCTTCGTAGCTATGGCCTGGACAACCTCAGAAGCTTCCTCAGAAGCCACGTGGAAATGGCCAGAACTTTTGAAGACCTTGTGAAGCAGGATAAGCGGTTTGAGGTTGCTGCACCTAGGTACTTTTCTCTTGTCTGCTTTAGAATTTCACCAAGAACAATCTCTAAGAAGTCCTTCTGTGGTGGTACGGATGATGAAGATCCTGAGTTCTGTGGTAAAATCATAAATGATGACAGTGAAAGCCTTGCGAATGAAGTGAACGGGAAATTGCTGGATTCAATTAATGGTTCAGGCAAAGTGTATATGACTCATGGCATGGTTGAAGGAGCTTTTGTGATTAGATGTGCGATAGGTGCAACATTAACGGAGGAACAACATGTGATTATCGCGTGGAAGATAGTTCAAGAACAAGCTAATTCTGTGCTCTCAGTGTTTTCCAACGCATAATAGGGTATTCCAAGCTACACAATGGAAAGCATTTACGAAGAGGCGAGCGTTATTTGTCAGATCAATAGGGTCAAATTATATATATATATATATATATATATATATTCCTCTCTTTCCTAAGCTTTACTGAGCATGAAATGATGTCATTTTAAGTTAAATTAGTCATATGATTATATGTGGTTTATACATGAACACTCCATTTACTTATGAATTAATATATTTTTATTTAAATATTTCTCTTCTCAAGATTATATATAAATATTTTTGTATATCGTAATTCAATTATTATTTTAATCATAATTGAATTAACTCTAGTTCAATTCCAGTGAAACTACTATCTTAATTGGTTCAATGACCAGTCTAATTTTTAGTACTTTGTTGTCACCTATGCTAGCAACACAATATATAAATATATAATTGTTGTTCTCTGTTGTGTTTTGGGAGCCTCTTATGTCTTGAGACAAAATTGAATGCAAGTATAAATCAAATGATAGTGTTCTTGAGCTTTTTATAAGCTTCAATTTTTTAATAGATTAGAAATATCTTAACATTTAGTGTATATATATTTTCATTTTACCCATAGTTAATTGTATGTTCCTTTCATTTTTTTAACTCACTCTCTCACATCTCTCTTTCCATTGAATTATATGTATTTAATTAATTTTAGCCAATATTTTTATTGTGTGATTTAGTTATTTAAAACTTATTTAAAAAAAGGATCAGGGGGAGTAAAAACTAGTAAATGTGAATGGGTGTTGAATAATTTTTGACCCTCTTGTGATATCTTTTGACCAGAATATGAAAGGCGTAAAGGAAAGCGGCATTGTTCAATGAAAGATTCTTTATAGCTTTAATAACATAATTGATTGATTGATGACAATATTAATTATCATGTTCAACCATTATTTAAGAATGATGGAATTAACTAGGAAAAAAAAAAGGGAATGATGAAATTAATTATTGTCCTAAGAAAAGTTCACTGCCTTCTCAACTATTGCACGATCGGTAATAATTTAAGATCACTTAATTTGGCTCCACTGACAGTTGAGTCCATATCTCATCTTAGTATAACTACAAACCAAATTTCATTTGGTAAAGAATGTACGAGAGATTGAGAGAACCAACTATGCATAATTGCAAATATTGTGGGAAAAAATATACTACGCAATGTATTCTGTTATTTCTGTTGGCACAAAAATTAGTTAATATTTATTAGGTCAAGTTCTTCAGATACACTTGTTATTTTGTTATTTTTAATTATTAAAAGACGTATGTGTACTTGTAAATTTATTTATGAATACTTGTAAATTTTTGTATTAGTTTTTATAATGCAAATTATGATTTGTGGATTTTCCTATATTAGTTGTTAAAATGCATACATATACTTATAAATTTACCAACAAAATATGAATACTTGTTATTTTACTATTGTTAGTTATTAAAATATGCACTAGTAATAATGAATATAAGTAACTTAACATGAGTTTTATCCATTATAGTAATAATAAATGTAGCTTTTTAAAATTCATATTAATGTTATTGATTTTAGTTTGACAATAATAATTCCATAAGAGGGTGGAAATATAGTTGCACCCAAAATAAAATCACCAACTTAAATTGGTACCCCAAAAAAAAAAAGGCAATATACCAACCATTGTCAATTTGCCATCAGTTTTAATGCAAGTCCATTTGGTTCCACTTGTGTCTTCTCAAATTGGGTCCATCTCGATATAATAAATGCTCATTAAATTTCATTGACGAAGGATGCATGAGGGGACCAAGTCCAACAGGGCACAACTCAGCAATATTCTACAATTATTAGGTATAAATAATTTAGAACATGAGAAATACCTATCAATTATCTTTTTCCTATGAATTATAGTAATATTAATAACTTGGAGTGGGGATAATCTAACTTCTTGCCAAGTACAAAAGTGGGTACTTGGGATTCGTTTATCACGGTTTCTCCAGATACTGATATACAAGTATTAAAATGCAATTTATAATAAGTGAAAAAATACAGTCTGGAAAAAATGTCACTTAATGGAAACAAGATTGAAACATTAAAATAGATTATGATTGATATGTCTCTAAAGTTTCTATTAACATGAACTCAGAATAGTAGAGAAGAGAGCTATGAATATAACGATGAAGATTTGTGAAGTGTTTGAAAGGTGAATGCTTTGAAAGCTTAAGTATTTTGACGATGGAGGGTGATAGTTGATGCATGTTAACTGATGATGAGTGTCTGGCTTTTGATGTTGTTATGTGTCTTGGTGGAAAGTGTGCAATTTCATATCAGCCATATTGTTTGTGGCTTGCTCCTCATCTAGAGAGGTCTCAACTCTTAAGATAGTTATACCCATTACTTTTATACAAATTCATCCATTTTCCAACATCTTAATGCATGTTAGGGAGAAAGAGTATGTAGAAAGGCCCATGCCTTATAAGACTTTAGGTTCTCTAATTTTAATGGCTAGCTTTTGGGTATGGTTTTCCCAAAGATTTATACTTGGTTGGCCAATCAGAGAGTACCAAGGGTTCACAAAAAGGAAGGGTCTTTAAAGACTTGGGTTCTCCAATTCTAACACCCTAAGAGGAGCTTTTGAAGACCTTAGTTTTTTCATTTTAGCAGCTAGCTTTTTAGGATACGGTTCTTTCAAATAATTAACTTTGTCTTAGAAATTTCTTAAAGGAAAAGAAGCATAGTTCTTAGATGTAATATGTGAAATTCGATATCCTTATTTGTATCATATATATTTTTTGTCCTGGCCATATAAGGTTTTAAGTTCTCTCATTTTAATAGCTAGCTTTTAGGTATGATTCTCCCATAGTATTATATTTAGTCGCCTAAACAAAGAGTGCTAACTACCAAGGGTTCCCATATTAGGAGGATTACCTTGAAATAGGGGCATTTAATTAATGACTTGGGCTCTCTAATTCCAACAGCTAGTTTTTAGGATGTGGTTCTTTTAAAGATTTGTCCTGATTATCTTGAAAGAGAAGCCTTTAAAGATTGGGCTCTCCAATTGTTTACCGATTAACTTAACCACAAGTGAACGGGTCGCAAGTAATATAAAAAGTATCGTTCTCTCAGAGACTAAGGCTAGATGAGTTAAAAATCATAATTGTGTACTTGATTAGGTTAAGTGAAACAACTGTTGTAAAAGAGTTTGTAAAATGAAATTAGGAAAACAATGGTTTAAAGCAGTATAAAATCAACTTGACCTTGAAACAATTAAGAGACTAGGGTTATTCTTCACTAAAGTACTTCATGAAACTGGATTAATTACTTCTCAAGTAGTGCTTTACAACAGGTTCAGTTAGCCTGGGTTTGCAGAATTGATTAAGCTTTCTCAAGTCAAAACCAAATGTTTGCAATCATGATTAAAACATAGCAATCTCTTGCATTTGTTTGAAAATGTTGCACTTTAAAAACCAAAACCCATTTAGTCTATGCTAGGTCAACAGATACATCTCTGTTCTATCAACAAACCGTCTATTTACTCAATTAAATTTCTGGATTAGCATGTTTTTACAAAAATTCACAGATTAACTTAACTTTCTCAAGTTAGACTAATCAAACAATCATTCTAAATGATGGCTAGACAAAAGGAAGCATTAAGCTCAAAGTAAAAACAACTGAACATTATCATTAACACTCAAGAGGTAGTAAAACCAAGTCTCAATCCATACAATAGATCAAAATAACCCTAGAAAAGCGGATTTAGCTATACATATCGAGTAAAGAACTACAACTATAAGAGTAGCTAGTAGTCATTGCAGAAACAAGAAGGGAAGAAGAAGAAACCCAGAAAAATCAAGTTACAAGCTTTGAATTTCTTCTAGCTTCAAGCCCAAAGATTCCAAGCCTCTAAAGCTCCAAACCCTAGCAGAGCCAGCCTCCAAAATTGCTCCAAAGTCGAAGTCCCCCTCAAAAACCGAGTATCCCCCTCTATATGCTCTAATTTTTTAAGTTACCACATAAAACGCACAGCTGCGAGGGGCTAGGCGCCGCGACGGATTCCTTCAGGCGCCACGGCACCTATTACAGAATGGTTTTCCTTCGAGGCTCAGGCACCGCGGCGCATGTGATAATCGGCCGCGGCGGATTATACCGAACAGGCTTCCTCTGAGACAGCTTGGGCGCCACGGCGGATTCAGTAAGGCGCTGCGGCGCCTTTTATAGAGACGCACTCCTCCCTCTCTGTTTGAGCCGCCATGGTGTTTTCTCCCAGATGCCGTGGCAGATGACTTCTTTTCAACTCTTCTCAATTGCTTACTCTCCTCAGGCTTTGTTTCCTGCAAAATTGACTTTCAAACCCAATAAAAGAGTGCTAAATTAGCTTAACTCAATAAGAATTTTGAGAGGTTATCACCAATTTCGACCGCTAGCTTTTAGGGGTATAGTTTTCTCAAAGATTCGTGCTTGTTGCAAAGAATTTTTGTCCTGGAAATTTTCTTAGAAGAAAAGCAACATAGTTCTTAGGTGTAATTTGTAAAATTTGAGATCCCTGTTTATATAAAATATACTCCTCCGGTCCTTAATATAAGATCCATTTAACTAATTTGATTAAATTAAGGAAGTTAGGTAAGTTAGTTAATTACTTCTCCGGTCCTAAATATAAGACTCTTTTCGTAGTGTAAAGTGTAAATTACATTACGAAAGGGGTCTTATATTTAGGACCAGAAGAGTATAAGAAATATGACATGTTTTTCTTAAAATACCATAATTATTTTCTTTAATATCCTTTCTCTCTTTTCTACTTAATTATGATTGAGGGAGTATCCATGGGAGTAATTTAGGAAAAATTGATAAATATAAGAAATAGATATTCTATTTAGGACCAAAATCAATTCAACAATTAAATCCTATATTGAGGACTATAGGAGTATATATTTTCTGGGTCTGTAACTGTAATTTTCCCTATAAAACAATGTTATGAGCACTGAACCTGAATTCATTCAAAAAGAAGAATCCGGGCTCGCATCAACAATTTCGGGAAAAGCATATTCGGCAGTTGAATTTTCAAACGTAAATCCTTTTGTTCTTCTCAGAACATGTTGCTTTCAATGAG